AAAGGACACCAAATAGGTCCAAGAGGATTAATGTTTTTTGTTTCAGAAGTGGTTTAATTAGATAAATTGAGAAACCAAAACCAGTGTCTTGTCACACGTGTCTCACAGAGCAAAATAGTCTCTGAAAGTTAACATTGGGGAATACATAACTATATTTAAAGCAACAAACATCACTGTGCTTTTGATTTCTGTTTGCCTTTCAACCTAGAGATATGTTTTTTGGGTCTTTACTCTTCCCACTGTAGGCTGCAACGAAGTGTAGATGGAATTAAGTTCCTTGGCTTTCATGGAGTAGCAGCCAGTATGACAGCTCAAAGAGTGTCATATTAATTCTTAATATTCATGTGAAAAATGGGGTCCATCTTTGTAAGCCCATTTTTTTATGATGAGCATTTTTGTCATAGGCCTGGCTGATGGTAAATTCATATGGGGTTAGTGTCTGTGTGAAGTGTTCTCAAATCATGGAGCTGAGATTTCAGTGTTTTGGTTACCCCTATTTTTGCTCAAAGCAGAACAGATACTTTTACCTTCACAAGTTAAACAGGAAGAGTGGCATCTCTCACAGACATTGTTGTCCTTGTTTTCATAGTAGTACTGAGGACAGGAGCTAACACATTCGTTCGTGGAGTGCAACAGGTAAAAATATGTATTACAGGAAACACAATCTGTGGCTCGAGTCCCCATACACTCCTTACAACTCTTGTGGCATCTCTCACATGATCCAGTGGAATTTTGTGCAAAATACCTGGGATAGATCAGATAGGCATAGCTTTGCATAAAGGCCAGTAGTGATAGAAAAAACAACATTTGTTTAATCCTTAGCTTTTTAGTGTGATTATATAAATTTTTAAAAATTGTACTAAAGTGAACATAGGTATTTGTCATCTCAGTGAAAACAGAATTCATTTAATTCCCTTTGGCCATTGGAATTCAGCTACAAAACACTCTGTAGTGTTTACAGCAAAAATTTCTAAAATTTGGGTTGAATTGAGATATAAAATATTGAAGTAGGGAGAGTTTATGTGATTTTACTGAGATATGTTCATTAGGTATGATCATTAATGAGATGTGGTCATATCCCATTAATGGGATGGACAGCTAGTGTGATCCATTGAATTCTAGCTTTAAATTAAATGGACCTGAAAGAAAAATCATAGGTTTACATTCTAAATTTGAATTTCCTAAAACTGAATTTCCCAGAACACTGAATTCATATTTTGAACTTAAATGGATTAATATTAAAGCTTCTCTCTAGAATTATGAGTGCTCAGTTCAAAGTTGTTTTAAGGGTTGTTTTTGTTATCACTCACTATAAGCATTAACTCTATGCAAAAAAAAAAATAACTGTATCCAAACTTTTCCTCCTTAAGTGGAGGCCACAGTGGTGGTTGGAAGCTCTTCTGATTGTGCTCAGGCTGACTGACATATAACTTAGTATACTTGTTCTGGTTTGCATTGTTCTGTATACAAATAGCCAAGAGCATCCTCTGAGCATGTCCAGACCACATCTAAGCAGTCCTCATCTGGGCACTAATTTTGGAGTTTTCTACATTGAAGGGAGGTTTTCCACCTCCCTTCCCAGTAGAATTAGAGGACTGAGATAATATGAGAGATTTTCTCCTGGAAACAAAACTCAGTTCTATTTCACACTAATGTGGAATGCTGCAGTGATCTAATTTCTCAAAGTTCTCTCTGTGATGCAGCCTCTTGGCAAAAGATCTTGGGCCTTACCCTGCTGGACATTGTGTTACACATCGTTTTCCTTGTCTGTACCAACCCAGTTTGCAGGAAAGGCACTGTGAGCTGTGTTTTCCAGTGCAAGTGTCACAGGTGCTGTGGCATGCAGAACATTGCCCCTCTGTGCTGTCAGCATAATATCCATCTGGGCATGTTTCAACACAGGTTCTGTCTGCAGAGACAACAATGCAAAATAACACATCATATTCAGTATTTGCTGCTATTGCATGCAGCTGTACTAGAGCAAACTATCAGCAGGACGTGCCGATAGATAATGTATCAGAACAAGAAAACCCATTGTTGGATACAATAATTGTTTTTTGATTCTTGTCAATTAATTAGTCCTCATTTCTGTGTTTTATGCATATTAGCAAGCTCTTCAGGACAGACAAACTTCATCTTTTTGAAAAATAAAGTAGCATAACAATGAACAGCAGATGTAATTTCCTTTGAATAATCAAAAGTAGTAAGGCAGCTTTTTATCTACATTGCTGTTTTCACTAGATTTCACTCTAAGCATCAGTCTAATTTAATTCAGTATAGATGATGCATCTGATGGTAATTTGAGGTTTAATGACATTTGTTTATTGGTCTTTACCCTTGTCTATGGCTTCTACTTTATGTTATGGAGTTAAATGTCTTTAATGTTGCAAAGCCAGATAAGTGTCACTTTTTTCAGTGAAATTTCAGTCATTGTAGTAGGAATCCCGAATGAGAAGTTAGCAGTGTTGTAATTAGATGCAAGTGCATAAAGCTAATAAAGTAGTAGATTACAAGTTGCTTGTGCTTATTACATATTTGTCTTCCTAATTTTGCTGCTTGGGTTGCAAGTGGTCAAAGGAAGATACTTTCACGTTCAGGTTTTTTTGCATTTTTATCTCAGTTCCAGTATGTTTATCTGCATTTGTCCATCAACTTTACCATTTATAATGTTGCAAAACAGCTGAGTGTGTTGATAAAAATGTAGGTCCAATGCAAGGTCTTAGAAATATAGGAATGTAAATTTTGCATTAGAATTAGACTCAAAAAGCTTAGGCTCACTTTTAGTTTACACTGTTTTTTAGATCTTTCCTGCATGAAGGATTATTTAATATTTTTTCTCCCAATGACTTCCTAAATTTTTGTTTGCTTTTAGGAGAATATGTAGAGAAGAAATGTTTTGTTGTGGGGATTTTATAATTTTTTCCTGTTTGTTTCTGAGACTATATAGTCTTAAACCTACTCTCTGCTCCAAAGTCAGAAAAGTAATTTTGTACCTTAGCTACCCACTAGATGCTGACTTAGTGATCCCTTTTAACAGATGTTTAAGTATTCCTTTGGTCATCAGATTGCTGCAGGGATTAAACAAGCCAACATGAAAATGTGCACCTTTTATAGATACATTAGCAGCAGCAGCAACAGCAACAAACCTAAGTTTAAAGTCCTTGTAGGAAACAATAGGAAGAGTACATACCAAGTAAATTAAACATACAAGGTTTGTTCAGTCATGATGATTGTTGCTATTTAGAAATCCTGCATTAGTCCTGTGAGCCCTGCCTCACAGAGTTTCCACATATCCCTGCTGAAGAAATTATCTCTGCACAATTTAACAACTTGTCATGTCCTCCTTACAGTATTTCAATTGGTTGATGCAGCCCAAATGGTTTGTAAATGTGACAAAACTTGTCTATTCCATGCTTTCATTGCAGAATGAAATCTAGAGGCAGGAGAGAGACACTTACTGAGAAGATACTGCTTATTTACACAGCTAAGACACTGGTTTTCAGTAGGTCCTGAGCAGTGGAAGCATTTCTTGTGGCAAGATTTGCAGGTCTGAATTTCCTCAAGGTAGTACTCAGTGGGAGAGCAGTATCCAGGTAAAACACAGTGCCCGTCATGGTTCAGTATCCATCCATTTCTGCAAGTTAGGCAGATGGTGGAAGAAGAGCAAGTCTGGCATGTCCTGTTGCATGCTGAAAAGGACAAACAGTAGGAATTTCACCATTTCTGAATTTGTCTGACTGTTATTACAGCTTTAATCTCAGGATGAAAGCCTGAGGGAAGTAATTTTCAATCTTATGCAAGTAGTTCCTTATGTTTGCTTTGCATCAACACTGCTTTTGCAACAGTGGATAGAGTCTCTAACAATTCTGCAGCCATTCTCAGCATTTTACCACAGTGATTGCCCTGAATAATAAACGTAAGTATCTTGGCTATCTCTCTGCTTTCTTCAATTTTTGCTGTTCTACAATAAGGCAGATTATTTTTCTGCATTAGCTATCCTCTTCAACAGTTGAACTCAATGGTAACAACATTAACTGTCACACGCAGGCTCTTAGGAGGTGACCTTTAAACAGACCCACTTGTATCTCAATACTCTTCTGGGGAAAACAACAGTTGCCAACCTTGGCAGTCTTTGGTGGCTTCTTCATAGTAACTCCCCTCAGGGCACTCTTTAAAACACATGCCATTGTAGAGGACAAACAAGCTAAAAGTGCATGCTGTGCAGTCATCAGAATTTGGCCCGTTGCAGTCCTTGCAGTCGGCATGGCAGGGAAAGCAGTGCTTCTCTTCAGGGTAGAAGTGTGAAGGGCATTTCTGTACACATTTCCCGTCGTGCAGGAAAAACTCATCCATACACTCTACAGGGAACAGCAGAACATCAGTAAGCAAATGAGGAAGAAATTCTGACCTGTTTAAGTGTGAGGGAAGGTAAGTCCTAGGAAACTTAAATTCTGGATTGTATGTCATCACAGAAGTCATCAAAACACCTTGAGAAGGTAGGATTTCCTTTTTCAAATCTTTCTCCTCCAAAAGACCTACATTGGCTCAATTCTTAAATGGTATCTTCTGTGCTAAAGCAAGAAAGTGTGAAAAAAAGTCATTTGCTCAGTATTGGTGATATTAACCAAGCCATTTGACACTAATATATAGATGGCCTTTTTCTGACATTTTTGTGCATTATGAACTTCCTGCAAAATCAGGAATGGATGTATCTGAAATTTTGTTTTGTTTATTATTGAAATATGAGTTTACCTAGAGTGTATTGGTCTAAATGATTTCTTTGCCTAGAGCTGTGAATAAGTTGATATTTTGAGTATAATATTTTTTTTATGATTTGGTTTGTTGATTGTTGTTTTTTTATTTCATCCATATTTATATTTCTAGAATGGCTTGCTCAATATTAGGCATCCTTAATATTTTGGGGCAGAGGGAATTTTGGAGGGGGGGACACATTTAGCCTCACCTGGGTGTTGAAGACTTTCCTAAATCTTTCTTTACAGGGACTTCTTTCTCTAACAGGAATGGTCATTTGCAAAAATGGCAAAAATGGTGAGTTGTGAAGTTCAACTCTGAAGAACCAGAGGACCAGGCAAAGCAATGTGAAATCTTTACAGATCAATCATTTAATCTCATCACAATCTATTTTAGAGATTAACAATTATATGCACATCACTTTTTTTTTTTTTTTGGCACATTACTGAATTTGGATTTGGTTTTTCTGTCAGCCTCTCTTCAGATAGATCCAGGTGGATTTTATTCTACACAACAACAGTTCTTTATAATACCTGTGCATATTTCATCATGAATACATTCTTGACACATTTCAGGGCAATGTTTGCAGATTCCTTCAGAGGCAAATTGTGTCTCTGAACAAGTAGATTTACATTCCCAGTGCTCCAGAAGCAAAGGATTTTTGCAGGACAGGCATTGGGTGGCACTTCCCACGCATGTCTTACAGGATCCGCTACATTCCTTGCAAGTCTCAGAATCATTAAAATATCCCCTATGGAATGAAAAAAACACGAAGAAAATTGTTGGTCACTCCAGGCTATGAGAATTACAACTCTAAATAAGACTCTCCCAGCACATACACTTCACTAGATCAAACATGTTTCTCACACAATTTTTTGCTCATCTTCCACGTAACTTCCCCTGTGTCTGAAAGCAGAAAATATACCTGCTTAGTGCTATGTGAAGGGCTTTCCTTCCTTCTTGTACCTGTTGTCCAAAAGTTCAAAAGTTATGTTGAACTTTTATGTCTTTATTTCCCCCTTACATAAGATAGAAAGATATATAACATTTTGGAAAACATGCAATCTCTAGTCTTGTGCAGCTGACCTGCAATACTGATATCAAGGAAAGAAAGAGAAGGGTAACCTCAGTAGCTTTTGAGAGGAGAAAGAAAGAGATGACTGGAAATGTGAGGGGTAGGAAGAATGAGGGCAGGGATTGAAAAAAACCCACAAGCAGGATATTTACATAATACCTTGCCTTACTGACAACAGGTTAGCAATGGCTAAGAGGGAGCACATTTTGCTGGTATCTGTGTGTGAGAGCAAATGTGGAGATTCACAGCTGGGAGTACTAGTCATAAATATAGGGAAAAAAATCTGCACCTCTGCTTCAAGTGAAGATGCATAGAAGAGATGTTGATTTCAATCTGTCTTCACTCTCAGAACCAAATTGTTACAAGGTTAAAGAATGTGTAAATTGAGATTTTGAGATGATTGCTAATTCACAGAGCCATTGATGAAAACTAATTAAGAAGTTGAAACAGAAACTATTCTCACAGTATGTACTTTACATTAACAAATTTGTTACTTCTCATGTGCTTCTCCTTCCATTCTTGGACATTATTTTTCCAAAGAAAGTCTGGGGAGATGGATAAGAAGCGAGGAAGCGAGGTTAGAGAAAAGGTAGGAGGAGTCATGCCTGCCACCTATTCTTATCCTTTTTTATCCTCCAACTTTTATCAAGGTCCTGCAACTAGTTCTCACAGTCCTGTCATCTTTTCTTGTTCCAATGTTGACTACCTGGTTAGCCCAGTCTTTCAAAACTCCTCTGTAAGAAATTAATTGTGCAGTAAGTCAAACTTTTTTTATCCCTTTTTTATCCCTCAAAAACATGTCCCCAAACCCAAGGCAATCCCCTTAACAGAGAGTCTCATTTTTTGCTCCAGTGGAGAGTAGTTGTGTCTCAAGAACTTTATCTCAGAGTCTGAAACTGGAGTTTAAACCCTGTGAATTTTGCTCAGTGATGGGAAGCTATTATTTAGAGTCTTGAATTTTGGAAAAAAAGGGGGATAGTAACATCTGAAATTACTAGTGGGATATAAAGAGTTTTAATTTTGTTGTACCGACTGTTGGAAGGATAACTGGGAAACTAGTACTGACAAGAGACATATTAATGCCAAAACACAATTAATGGTTGTATGCCTTAGTGTCTAATATTAAAAATTGTTTCTGGACTACAGTTGGCTTTATTGCAATTACCTTGCATTCACTGGGCTATTTCCTGAAGAAAACCTGTTACACTGGCCCTCATTGACTTATTCAAGAAGATTACCAGGAAGGCAGTGGCAGAGATTGCAAGAAAAGCAGGAGGAGCATCACAATTTTCTGAAGAAAAAAGATTAACCAAGCAAGGCTTTTTTTCTGCATAGCACTTGTTTAATGTATATATACATAAGATGAACGCTGATTTAATAAACATGGAAAAAAGAGAACCTGATCTACTCATGTGCCTGATTTATCCATTGCAGACAAATGGGAGCCATTTTAAATTCCACATATAAAAATATATAAAAATAAATACAAACCAAAGAAAGAAACACACATCATTAAGCACTGTATTTACATATCAGGACTCTAATACATTCACTGTCTGAGTTTATATCTGCCCTGTATTACTTGGAGGAAGGAACAAACTGAAGAATGTCTAGAACTTTTATTATCATTTGCCATGAAGTACTATGTTCCTATTAAAGTCATTGAAGGTTGTTCCATCTTTCATAGGATTTCATGTCTTACCTTCACTTTTGGTTTTTTTACTTTTTTCTCTAACTGAAGGAAAATACTGTTTATTCAGGCAGTCTTGTAAACTACATTTACCTGAGTTTCTACTAGCATGTGTTACATTAAGGTCTTCCTTGAAAGTTTAATAGTGGATCTGAACTTAAAGAGAAAGAGCACAGATAAAAAATCAGGGATTATATAAGAGGGGTTACTTACTCGGGGCACTCCTGTAAACACCTGCCTTTGTGGAGGAAGAGCAGCTGGTTCTGTTCAGCCTGACACTTCTGACAGTGCCACTGGTCAGAGCACACCTCACAGTCATGCCCACACTTCTCGCACTCTCCACTTGCAACATTGCCAAAATATTTTTGGGGGCACAGAGAAACACAGGTATCATGGATAAGAAATTTTCCTGGCAAAAGAGCAACCCAGAGGGGTAAAGACATCAATTAGACATATATTTAAAATATTTTTGCCTTGAATGGCTACAAAAAAAAGCTTTCAGCTTCTCAAAATTCAACTTTGGTTCTTAAAAGCATTAATAAAACTTGCTTTCTTAAGACATTTCTCAAAATATTTTGCTCAGGCTTCACTAACATTGACAATTAGAAGGAATATCAGGATTATCTAGGATGTCTCACTGAAGAAATCCCTATTCAGTAATTCTTGCATGATATCTACAAATTTTTCTTGAAATGAGAGCAAAGGAATACCATCAACAATACTTTAATCCATATTGCCAAGGGCATGCCCTGTTGCCTGAATTCAACTATTCATTGTCTGATTGCCTCTTAAGCTGTCAAGGGATTTTGGGGCAACCACAGACAAAAACATTCTCTGGAAGCATGTAGGACACAAATACTGTAGTCGCTTACAAACATATCGAAGGAAGCTGGAATGTTACCTTCTGGACATGAAGTACACACATCAGCAGATTTCCCACAGGTCATACATGAAGAGTTGCAGGACAGCAATTTTCTATTTCTATCTGGGATGAAAGGGAAAAAAGTTACTTTTTTTACCATTTTGTTTTCTTAATTTCTCCTCCCTTTAGAAGGGATACTTTGTATGGCTTCTCCTGAAGTGTTTTGAAAATGCACCTCTGCAAACTTTTGGAATTCACAAAGTTGAAGAACTTAATGACTGTGCTTGACTCCTCTCTCCTAAATGGTAAGTTATGGGTTGTATTAAAGGAAAATATGAATGTTTTACTCATGTTCACTCAGGCATTGTTCTGGACTGTTCATCACAAATGAGAACAATAATAATGTTATTTATTTTATAATGATCCCAATAATCTTATTTTCAGTATAGTGCTCCAAACCCAAATACAGATAGATTGCAAACAGAAAGATCTAGAAAATATGTACATTTGGGGACTTGGTTTAATGAGGTATTTCTTGGACATTTTGTATTAAATTGTTGTAGAACACCATCACCCTGTAACCTAAAAGTTCTGAGTCAGAAGGAGACAGAAATCATGTACTCATAGAATATGTTGCTTTGGAAGGGACCATCAGTATCATTAATGTCCAACTCCTAGCCCTGTGCAGGACACTCCATAAGCTGAGAGCATTGTCCAAATGTGTCTTGAACTTTGTCAGACTTGGTGCTGTGTCCATTTCCTTGGAGAGCACATTCCAGTAGTCAATCACCCTCTGGGTAAGAAATCTTTCCTGGTGTCCAGTGTAAACCTCCCCTGACTTAGCTTCATGCCTTTTTCTTGAGTCTTGGCACTGATCACGAGAGTGAAGAGATCCATACTTGCTGCTCCAGTTCTCCTTGTGAGAATATGAAAAAAACAATGAAGTCTCCTCTACTTTAAGCTGAGCAAATCCAGATGACCTTGGTTACTTCCTATAAAGCTTTCCTTCCAGACCCTTCACCATCCTCATGGCTCACCTTTGGACATTCTCTAATAGCTTATTGTCTTTTCCATATCTCCACACAGTCCTCTAACTGAGGCTGCATGAGTGTGGAGCAGGACAATCCCCCTTTTGACCAGCTGTCAGTGCTGTGCTTAAAGCAACCAAGCACACACTAGTTCCTCCTGGCTGCCAGGACACACTGTTCACTTACATTCAACTTGCCATTGATCAGAGCACCCAGCTCCCTCTCCACAGCACTTCTCTTCAGCCTCCTGTTCCATAGTCTGTATAAGAAACTAGGGTTGCACTGTCCCAAGGTGCAGAATCCAACACTTGCACAAATTAAAATTCATACTGTTGGCGATTGCCTATCTCTCTAATTTATCAAGGTTTGAGAATAACGCCTACTAATAGTTCTCCCCAAACTTACATACTGACCTATCCTATTGTTTCCCTCCAAAAGGGGACCTAATGAATGTCAAATTGAGTTCTTATGACTGTGGAAAAGCAAATTTTGATTATGCTTTGCAGAGCCATCAGTTAAAAAATGACAAGGACATTGGAGCATCATGCCTAACAGAAAAAATCTCCTGTGCAATGTGATGGCATACCCAGCATGCAGCTCCATATTTGGATACATGCAAATTACAACAAGGGCTAAATGTAGGTCTAATGAAAAAGTAATTATGGACCAACAGACAACATACAAAAGCCTTGTGATTTTCCTGAAAATAGAAAATGAAGACAAAATGAAAAGCTACTTGCAGATTGAGCTGTGCACCTAATTTAGCACACCCAGTTCATCCTGCCAGTTAAATATGTATGATTTTTGTAGGTTGATTGATGACAGTAATGATTAGCCAAATGTAGTGTATCACTAAATTATTTTGTTCTGCCTGTTGTGGCTATATAGTTTAAAATACTGAGATTTTGAATGAAAACCATGGAAGCAAATGCTTCAAGTATAAGGACCAGGGAAAGGAGCAGGAAATATATAAAGCCCTTTCCCATAAGGAGAAATGATAAGCATTATACTAAGCAGATGAAAAGTGTGTGTATGTGTACCATACCACAGAAGAAGAAAAGAGAATAATAATAAAGATACGAATAAGAGAATATGAATGACAGAAGTTAGGTCCACATTCAATGTGACTGGGGATGGTCCATAACTATTTAATAACCACATCTGACACTACCATTAGCTGAGAAGCCTCAAAAACTCACTGAAATAAAGAAATAATCTCAATGTAACTACCCATGGAGAGCACAGCCAATTACAGCCTGGGTGTTTAGCAGTAAGTCGTTCAGCAAGGACATGGACAGTCACTCTTTATCAGCACTACTTGTGAATACTGCTTGTACAGGATAATGAAAGCCTGTTATGTTGTTACTCTTCCTGGCAATTGGCACAACATAAAATTTATCCACATACAGCTGTGTCTTTAAAAGCAAAGTGATAGAACTTTACACAATCAGTAACAAAGGTATGCACGACTAGAGTCACTCAAGCTGCACCTAAGATAGAGAACAAAAGTACAAAATTCAAGAATGGGGGAAAAGGTAGGGAAGAGTCCATCCTAACTGCTGGGTTTGGTCAATGGGCTGAACCTGTCTCCTCCCCCGTAGCAACACCTGTTGAACAAGAATCATCTTCTCTGCTGGCAGAACATTTTACTGGGGCTTAGACCTTCTTCTCTGTGTATTACTTTGAAAACATTTGTTCAGTCAGGTGCTATCTCCAGCAGCCTTTGAAGCTTAAGCTGTCACGAGTTTACATGAATAAGGAGTGTTACTCCATAAACTGTCAGTGTGTGTCCTTCATGGGCACTGGCACGGGCTGGCAGTGGGTAACACACTCCAGTAAAGAGGAAGATCTGCTGAGGGGTCTCCCTTACACTGCTGGTTTCCCTGCCTGAGTCAGTGGAAGCACCCTCTGACCCAGCAGGACTGCTCAGTGAAGGTCCCTCAACAGGACACTGACAGTGCACAGGGGTCTCAGCTTTCCTGGGATACTGACAAACCAAACACTAAGGGTCCAGCAAATCTTCCCACACTAACACTGACTCTTGCAGACATAATTTTTTTCCCCTGCTGAATATTTTTTTTTCTTTATTTCAGGTTACAATATGTCCTGCTAAAAGGACTCTACTGTCTATAATTGCCCCCTGAGTGCAGAAGGAAGTTTGAGTGTTTTTTAAGGTATGCAACACATAAGCATTTTGATTTCTCTTATGCAGATAAGAGAAGATAACTGTTTATAAGTCTATATCTGCCTAATGCAGATAACTGCTTACTTTTTTGAGATTCACTGTCAGAGTTTTTGGAGACACTACTCAATAGCTTCACGTTTTTCGTTACTCATCAGTATTTAACAAAATATTAAGAAGTGTCTTAAATTTTGACTGTAAGAATATAAGAAATACTCCAGAAAAGTTGGCTGTTATAAGGTTTTCTATTATCCTAAATTTATTTTTGCAGAGCTTCTCTCTTTTGCTGTTTTTGAGTGAAGATCAGGTGAAGTTAAGCAGAGAAATTGTTAACTACTGCTGAAGAATATTTAAAGGAGCTCATTCTTTCTAAATGTTTGAAGCCTTACAATGGAAAATAAAGATTTTTTTTTTTGTGAACTAGTTTTTATTTTTCTTTCCCTTTTGCAGTATGTCCTCTTTTTTTGTAATAGTTACTAGTTGCCACCAGAGGGGAATGTACACAAGCATTCTGCTTACAACAGAAACAATAATTAGTTTTCAGTCAAATGTAAGTATTTGAA